GGAGCCAATAAGCATATATTCAGTTTTGGCTATGTTAAGGCTTAGCTTTTTTGCTACCAGCCATTTTTTAATGTTATCTAGATCATGGTTTAACCTCACTTCTATTTCATTAATTGATTTTCCTGCAACTGGTTTGCTCTTGTCGTCTGCAAAAAGCCAAGGTGTGGCATGTTCCAAGCAGCTAAGTAGCTCATTTAGATATATATATTAAGTATAGGAGCGGTCCAAGGATCGACCCTTGCGGAACCCCGCAATGTGTCTTCCTTACTTGAGAGGATGTACCATTCACCTGACATTTTTGCTTAAGATCTGTTAAAAAAGAGCTCAGCAGGTCAATCGCATTATCTGTGATGCCATAAGCCGTGAACTTTTTTAAAAGTAACTCATGGTTCACAGTATCGAACGCTTTTTTAAGATCTAGTGAAACAATCATAATTGTAAAAGCCACGATCAATGTTGACATACCACTCATTTATGCACTTAATCTGACGAAGCCGACACGGTCGAGCGAAACCGTCTGAAACCAAACTGGTGATCAGTCAGCATATTTTCATGCTCTGAGTATTCCGCTAGTTGTTCATATAAAATCTTTTCATAAATTTTGCTGATTACAGGTTATATTTAAATTGGTCTGTAGTTGTCAAGCATGTTTCGTGGACCCTTCTTGTGAAGGGGCGTAACTCTAGCTATCTTCCCTTCACTAGGGAACATTTGCGAAGTAATAGAATTGTCAATTATTCACATTAAAAGCCGGGAAATCACTGGGGCAGATGATCTAAGCACTTTTGCTGAAATTTTATCTATTCCCGTGGCTTTCGATAGCGACAAAGAACTGAGAAGCTTATAGACTTTAGAAACATTAACAGTCTTAAAATGAACAGAACTATCTGACCTGGGAATAAACTTATCGTGATCGCAGCCTGGATAATTGATTTTTTCAGCAAGTGACGGGCCAATGTTTGTAAAATATTCGTTAAACTGGTTATCAGTATCATCCGGGGATGAAACTTCGTGGTTGTCTAACTAAGAATTGACGGAAATTTTGACTTTTATAGTGTATCATAAAATTGGACCTTAATATTTTTGCAATATTGGATCTAAATATTTAGCCGACGCTTTAATTAAAAGATACGCACACTCCTCTCCGCCAACAAGGAATTTTTAGTAGTCTTAGCGGGGTGATTTTTCAGTCATTTCTTCCACACCCTGGAACAATTTAGCACACCAAATAAGAACCGCAGCATGCTTACGCTCTTTAAAGAATAGAGTTAATTCCGTTTTGTTTAGTCGTTCCAGAAATTGTTTACTAACAAATATTGTTTAATTAGTAGAATTGGCACTACATAAATAAGGAATATTAGTGTCATTATAATTATTAGTATGATGACAATCATCTTTACTGTTATACCATGGTACAACATAATGGCCGAGCCTATTCCTAGGGCCTAGGGTTGGAATGAAATAGAAGTCTATAAGCTATTTGATGGATAGTGTCTTTCTTACGATATGAGATATTCCAAGTAGTGTGATCTTCTGTAGTTCATCATGTATTTGAATCCTTCAAAGTCTTTTCTTGCCTGAAAAATGTCAACCCTAGGATTTTGTCGACTTTTAAAAGATCTTTCTCTAAGAAAATGGGAAAAAAAAACCGAGTTCACACATTATCCACTCGCTAGGAGGTGAATATTGTTGAATAGTCCGAGATAGCGAACCAATCAGATTGCTTAAATCACCAAGATCACTGAGTGTGTATATACTAAAACATAATGGCCGAACCTATTCCTAGGGCCTATGGTTGGAATGAAATAGAAGTCTATAAGCTATTCGATGGATAGTGTCTTTCTTACGATATGAGATATTCCAAGTAGTGTGATCTTCTGTAGTTCATCATGTATTTTGATGTTACCCTGGATCAGTTGGATATATTTTTCCAAACCCTTTCTTTATTAGTCCCAGGGCTCCAATCAGTACCGGAATTGTTGTGGTTTTCACCCCCCACATTTGTTAAAATCTCGATTTCAAGGTCTCTATTTTTTGACAGATTTTCGGTTGGGGATGGACATGTCAGTGAGTAGTCAGCTTTCTTCCTGTCTGTATTGGCATATCCCACAAGATTATGATGTTGTCTTTTTCTATTAATGCCTGGGGATCATGCTCGTACCATTTCTCCTTTGTGTTTCCATATGGTTTACATTCAGCTCTTTGCAGATGTTCCAGTGAAGTTATGTAGCGGCGTTGTTGTGTCTGCTAAAGGTATTCAGTTTTGTTCAGCTCCGGGCACCCTGCAACAATATCATCAATATTTTCCTGAAATTGACCACAAATCTTGCACATTGAGTCTGTACCATCTTTTAGGAGCTGGCTACGATAGCAGTTGGTCTTGGTGGCCTAGTCTTAGACATCAGTAATAAAGCCCTCCGTTTCGGACTTAGGCCCAGCTGTCTTAAGCCACTGGTTGGTCATTTGATGGTCTACATCCTTCTCATTTGCTCTTCTTAGGTATTGCCCGTGCATAGAGTTATCTCCCTATTTTTGTTTCAATTGATCTTGAGCAAGGCGCTGGTGCTTTTCAAATAACTTTTCTGGCATATACAGTTGGTTCCAGTGTTTCAGGGACGGGTCGAGTTCTCTTCTGAACATTGTAGCCTGGCTAGCTAGGGGTACTTTTTTTCATGCGCTTTAGCGATGATAAGAAGGGGTCATTTTTAGGTGTTAGGGTACGTAAGCCTATTGTAGCTGTTTTATAGGCAAGTTCCAGTTGGATGAGGCCCCCTACCACCGTCATTTCTGGGAAGGTACATTCTATCCACGTCTACTTTTGGGTGGTGTATCCTTTCTTAGGTGTGTAATTTTCTTGTTTTTCTATGTAGTTTTCTGATCTCACCCATTTTCCAGTCAAAGATGTTGCAGTATGTTAATGGCTTCCACTCTGTTAATCGCATCGAGTCACTACCAACATGAGTTCAATGAAAATCCCATGAAATGTTCAGGAAAAAACCCATGAATCTTTTTTCATGGTCATGAATATAGGAATTGTCAATTTCATGGCCTTCATTTATGGCCATAAATTTTCAATGAATTATATAACTGCCTTTTTAACAACCCGTGAAAAAAGTTTTTCATGGCCATGAAATTTTTCCGCCACTATGGAAAAAGTTTTTCATGGCCATGAATTTTTTTCGTCACCATGAAAGACGTTTTTTCATGGCCATGAAATTTTTTCGCCACCAAAAAGTTGAATTTCATGGGTCATCAAATATTTTTCATGGTCCATTAAATTCACAAACATTCCGAATTCGATATTCATGGGCCATGAAATTCCCATGAAACATGGGGAAATAATGTAAAAACCCACGCAAAGTCTTAAACCTTCAGAAATGAAAATAAATAGACAAAAGATCACAGGACATACAATTTCAGGAAATTAGTATATTCTCAGGAATAACCTGTGAAAATCCCTTACTATTGGGACTGCAAAATGCAGCTACAAAATAAAGAAAAAAGGGTTATGTAGTATTAACTTATCACTGGTGATTTAATTCGATAACATTTCACTGTTATCTTTATGCTCAGGTTGATTGGTTAGCACATATTAGTGCACCTGCTTCTGGTTTTAGTAGTTGTCCATATAAGTAAAAATACATGTATGATAATAATGTAGTGTTTTTATACGCCGTCAAAATGCAACATACCACTTTACCGCTTCTCCTTAAGCCGGTCCTTGTATAACTTGGAAGCATCAAATTAAAATACGTCCTTTGACTTTAGGCACACAGTAATGCTGTACCTTGATAAGACAAAGATGCTTCTTTTATAGATACAAGTCACCATCACCTTAAATACTTAATAAAAGCATCTCATTAGAAGGAAAAAATATCTAAATCTACAATGATATATTGAAGTGTGATAATGTTCCTCTCAATGTTTGAACATTTCGGTTCATTTCCTGTACTTTGCCTTCCTCCTTTACAACACAGTTAATTTCAATTAATCTACAAAAAATTGTTTACTCAGTTTTAACATGTATTTCAAGATCATTTTATTAATAATACAGTGAAAGCCTCTGGCTTGCGGCCACCTCGTTATTATGGCCACTATTTTTTGGGCTGCCTGGAAAATGACCATACATTTTCTTGTAAGTAGTATAGTACATGGCGGCACCGGCGCATATTATGTATTCTGGATTTGACCTTAGGTTTTTGATGACGTCAGCATTTTTTCCGAATTGGATTCCTGGAATTTGCCCTTGGGATTTTTCCTGGAATTTGGGTTAGACTATATGTTTTTTATTTTGACCTTGACTTTAATAATATCTAAGCCCAACCATAACACCATACTGAAATAGTTTGCGACCATATATTATTTTGGTTTTTCAGTCAGGATCTGGCTGATAGTTTTGATATTTATCCTCATTTGTGAATACAATATGAGAATGATTATTGGTTATTTTTTTGAGTCCAAAATCTATTTCGTCTGTTTCTGCTTTTTGAATCATTTCTAATATTTTATCCACAACAGGATCTTCGATTATTTTCTTTTTATAAGTATCTAAAATAGGATCTAAATAAAAGCTCTTACCGCATTTATAATCAGTTTTTTCTATTGCTTGCTCAGGCTCAATGAGTACTGATCCTTTGTATCCTTCACAAGTATTTTTTATGATGCCAGATAGTAGTAACAACCCACGGCATGAAATTCTTGGTTCTTTTAGTTGGTTTAATTGCTATAATGCTGATTTTAGAGCGGTTTTTGTGTGCTTTTGTACGACTTTTGACTTAATATTTGAGACAAGGCCCAATTCACTGGTTAATTTTTGTTTACTAAGGCTTACTCTACCATTTGGAGGAATATACATAGATATCAAACTAGTGCCTCCTGATAGCGATTGTTGTTTGGCTAAAAGACGGATAAAATCTTCCATATATATATTATGTATATAATTATGGAATGTAAAAAGGTGTGTTAAATGGATACTGACTTGTTTTTAGTTTGTGATAATTTTATTTTTCAATTCGGTGGACAACTTTATAATGCATTTCTAGTGTGTCGTTATTATAAAAGTGTTTGATGCAATATTTACACGGCACTCTGATGCCTTTCATATAATCATGGATATTTTTGCTAATCTTATCATAATCATTACTGAGTATAAATGCATAGCCATTATTAACGTATTTTTTCTTCATCTCCTTTTGTGCTTCTGAAATATGATAATTATTAGTTGGTGATTTGATTTCAATACAGAGGCCTTTATAATCTTTGTGATAATCGAGTACCATTAGATCAGGCTGTCCTCCCATATATCCTTTGTTATACGAATTCAGTCTCTTATCCTCAGTATCCTGATTTTCACCCAGACCGGCCACTAATATGGAATCTGGATAATATCTTCTTATGGGGTCCACTACTTTATAATGGAGGTCAGTCTCATTGCCAATCATGATCATCTTATTCCAGGGTTTATTGAATGGCATGTAGTAGCCATGTTTCCGGATGGATGGAAGGACTTTTGATGTTACCCAATGTTTGAACCTTTTTGCAGAAGCAGGTTTTGAGGATGAATTAAGAGAATATAGTCCAGATTCGTTTATTATGGTGTAATTTCTGGCTTGAACCTTTCGGCTCCGTTTTGGAGCTCCAGCTTATTATGCGCTTATCCTCACATGGAAGATGATCCCATATACATTTACTTACATTACAATATCCAAGTATAGTAGCTATTTCTTTACCAAGGAACCAAATATTCTGCTTTGCATCAAGAAATAAAGTCAACTCGATATTCATCTCTTCATTAGTATACTTTTTTTCAATCATATTTACCATATATATTGGTTACATAAATATTACTATCATACAGACCAAAAATATGGTAAATATGATAGATTAAAAAGTATGCTAGGCCTGAGGTGCCGTTTCAGCACATTAGACCTGACGCTCCGTTTCAGGGCATCAACAAAGCTGCCTCAATTTATTTCCCCCTTGTGTCATTTTGTTGAGGGGGCGAAACGTCCACGCCAATGATTGGGCTATTTTGTTGACCCGGCGTTTTACAGGGGCAATAATCTGGGTTGAGGTCATAGACCAACCGCGTGAATCACGCTGTTGCCCAGAGAGGTGTGATAACTTTACATCCTACCTCTTCCTCTGTTTCAAAGATTGCACCTAGGACGCCAGTTACTGTCATCTCAGCTGATTCCAGCTTTTTGGATAGTAATTTCTTGTGGTATAATGTCGCAATTTCTTCCTCCAATTTTTGGATTTTAGTTAATAGTGCATTAAGCTCGGATTCCCTACTCTGGATTTTAGTATCAAGCTTTCTTATATGATCGTCCATATACTATTAGTTAGATAAATCTTGTAAGCTGCTTAGTGGAATCCAACTATTAAAGTCGTCACTATAGCCCAACCATTTTACAAGAGCTTGTTTCTTCTTATAATCCCTCCGAATGACCTTTTCACTGCGAAATACGTCCTGTTTTGCTGGTAGTAATTCTGGTTCATAAAAGCTGCCTTGTATTTCCTCATTATTTAGATCCTTTAATCTGTATGTGATTGGGTTTGTGGATTGGATTTTATCGATCACCAATATCTCCTCTGTCCAGTTGGGTGTGTACCCTTTATCGAACACCTTTCTCTTGTACTTACTGATCTCACTTTATCACCAACCTTGAATTTAGGCTTAGATGACAACTGCTTCATATCACCATATAAATTGTAATATACGGCATTTTCATTCTTCTTCTTACTAGCTTTAACAGGAGTCATTTTAATGGAACTGTGTTTGGTGTTATTATACTGCTCCAATATTTTTGGTAGTATGTTGAGATATTGGGTATTTCCCTGGACAGTAAACTGTTTCCACATTCTGGTTTTAATTGTACGGTTCCATCTTTCACACACACTAGATTTTTCCTCATTCTCAGTTGAATATAGTGTTATACCATTCTTTTCCAACGGTTCTTTCATATTTTTATTGTAATATTCTTTCCCCTTATCAGTCCAAAGATATTGTGGTTTACGGCCCTCTTTGAAGATGGTTTTGAATGCTTCTGTGACAGTTTCCCCTTTCTTATCCTTCAGTGGTACAATCCAGCCATATTTGGAGAATAGATCTAGTACCATGAGAAGATATCTATAACCTTTGTTCCATTTGCTGAACTGTTGCATCTCAACCAGATCTGAGCACCAAATTTTGTCAATACCGGTTGTAATAACACGCCGCCGAGTAAAGTTGCGTTTTATTGGTTTATGTAATTCGTCCGCTAATTGTTGTTGCCAACTGATACCCGACGGCTTTTCTAGTTTAAACCAAGACCAAGTTTCTCTTTTGTGTTTATTAGATTTCTAGCTAACCAGTGTCCCCATTGTCGTTCATTATAGGGAATGGCGTCTAATGATTTTACCATTTTACGGTCAGCTTTATTTTTGCACTTTCGGTTATCACCACAAACACTATAATCAATATCATGCTGCATGGCCACTGCATCGGTTGGCCCAGTTGGTTGATCATAAATTTCTAATATTTCACCAGTTTTTGGATTGTATCTTACTTGATTTTCGAGATCGTTGTAGGGGCCTGTATATTTATGCCATGGTAAGGTCCATCCGCCTGCGGGTCTTGGTAATTTACCAATCTGCTTGTGTATATCTATAGCACCACCATCAAGATCTTTCCTGTTTGTTTTGTAGTTTTTCTTTGGTCACATTTTGGTTGATAATTGGTTAAGAGCTTGAGAACCGACATTCTAGATCATTGGATTTAATTTGTCCAAAGCATAATCTATAGCTTTTTTCTGTAACTTGTTATTGCGTAATGCTTCCGACCCATAATACCTTCCCATCTCAACGGTCTTTTTGGCCATATATGGTAGGGCATGATGTACAAATAGATCAGTAGCGGTTCCTACAGCGGTGTCAAATAAATCGCCCCCTGCTTGAGAGGGCCCAATTAGTTTCCCTTCTTTACAAATTTAAACTTTTTTATTCCACATTCAGCACAAGTGCACCAAAACATAAGTCTACCATTTTTGGCAGTTTTATAACCCGAAGGTTCTACACATTCTGTTTGCTTCTTCTGTTTAACACAATAAGATTTTACCATTATTATATATTTATGTTATATAATTATTGTCTAATCACTATCACTACCGTCTGGAACATAAGTTTCATGGCTGCCATCTGACTCATAATCACTCTCACTCAAGGGCTCACAGTTGCAGCACTCGAAACATCCATATTGATTCATATAATGTGGAGTAACTTCTTGGCAATAAACACAAAACTTTTCAGTCATATATAATAGTGTTACATAAAATAGTTTATCAGAAATTGGTGATTTATTATTTGATTTGTAAAACTGAATTTGGGGTTGTGTATAACGTCTAATAATGATTTCCCTTTCTGTCTCTCTAGAAGATAATATAAGCACCAATAACCGCATAAAACACTGTCTCTTTCTTGTATTTCATCTGATGAGTACACCATTTTTTTACCGCTTGTTATCAGATAATTTTTGATTTCATTGGGCATGATTAATCCGAACGGGTCAAAATATTCACAATATTGTTTATCCACGTTTCTATAACAAATCCAATGACTGCCCCCGCCCATTGAATCATCAAGATTAATTATTCCTGTTTCCAATTTGTGTATTTTGTCTGGTAAATTATCACGGCTGTAGATACCCCTAAAATATTTTATTCCTAATTGTTTAACCCATTGTAACAAATCAATATTCGATAATGGTTTGTTTATGAATGTTACAGTATTATTCCTAGAATTGGGATTGAATTGAATGGGCTGTTTTCTCCGAGCAGCAGTCCCTTTCCCTTTCTTTTTTTTTTTACTCCCGCACCAACCGGGTTTTCCCATGTGCCAAAGAAAGGTGGTGACATGTAGGGATATGGATTATACATTCCGTGGCCATTAGTTGTATCGGGAACATAAACAGATGTTGTATTAGCGGAACCGGTTCTATCGGCCTGTAGTCCTTTTCCCGTTAATGCGTTTAGTAATAGAGGGATTCCTATACTCGCTAATAGAGTACCAAGAAATCCGCCCTGCTGTGTTTTCGTCGGTCTGATAACTAATCCGTTGCCAGTTTGGAGAGACTTAAGAATATCCTTTTTCTGCCCCGTGGTCAGTAAATGTTTGTATGCAACCAATTGTGCTATTTTGTCCATTGGAATAAGAAAACCTCCTCGTTGACCTTTTCCGAATATTTTATCCACACCGAGACTGGCTAATCCTGACAACACTCCTGTTACAAGTGGAGCGGCAGCCTTTTTGGCTAGGGGCATTGCCATAGGTAACAACTTGCTTCCTAAACTGATTAATGATTCCCACAAACTACCACCCTGTCTAACAACCTTTCTGATTTGTGTTTTTGATATTTTGATATCCGACCCTGTACCCTGGCTCATTGCTTTTCTCAGCTTACTGATCTGAGTTTTTGTGGGCTTTAATTCGTGTGGACCGGATAACTCATTTCTGGCTAATCTGATGGTTATTGCTGAGTTATTATTGTAAGCTCTCGAAAGCTTTTCCAATTGTCCTTTACTAAGTGACACACCATAAGGATAATATTTTGTCATTACTTGTATATAATATATGTTACATAATTTTAACCATATTCAATTTACGATCTGAGTATTATTTTGCCATACTTCTGTATTAGCTCAACATCTTGCTCATATAATGTTAATGCGTAAATTGAGTAGGCTGTTGCCGTTGTTCCAGATAGCTCATATTTAAATGTCAGTTTTGTGGTGCCATCCTTAATGTCCATTTTTTGTTTTGTTAAGTCGAAATATAAGAACGGAAACAGGGTACTAAAATTAGATTTATTGAGTAATGACCTTCACCGTATTCATTATTTTTGTGAACATATTTCAACACATCCCTTAAGACTCTAGTCATATCAGTACTCGGTGTGTAATGTATTTCGGGGTATTCATTTCCGTTTCCAACTTCCAGGTGACAATTGGATAAGGTTCTTGGGTCAGTTGATACATGTACAGAGAATGTATTGTACAAGAATGGATTAGCTGTCTGGGCAACGATATTCGTATCATTGATTATAAACACAAACACGTGTCGGGGTTTCGAAATACCAGAAGAGATTCTGAAATGCCCAGCTCTCTGCTGGCTACTATTTGATCTTTTAATATTCTCTCTCAAATAAGTCCACTTATGATTTTTAAGGTATTGACTCATGTAGGATGATTGGCCCTCACTGTTAAAGGTTATTCGCGGAACATACAATTGCATCCTAGTGATAACCACTCTGCAATTAGCCCCGGCTTGCCAAATTACATTACCATCTGACTCAATCTCAAAATTCATCTCAACTCTTGTATTAGGTAACAGCTCATCTTCTAACATTTTAAAGAATGAGTATCTGTTCAGTGGTATTTCTGTATTCACTTTAGCTGAGACACCTAAGAGTGCTTTCCGAGGGGCAAAACCTTTATTATTATTAGCTACTACAACATCCAACATTAATCCTGCATCATCGGCGTTATTGGCAGCATTTCTTCTATGAGTTACTCGTCTTTTAGTGAATCTTGTTTCCTCTGGGTGTCTTGTATCAAGATAGAAAAACTCATTGCTGGCGGTTTGTTCAGCGTAAGATGGACTGTACTCAAGTAAGTTCTTAATATTTACCGCGTGATTCGGGTCATTACAATCATACACTTTCTTACCATTGAGCTTAATATCAAAATGTTTCAAGAATGAGTACGACCCGTTCACAATTCCATTATGATCTGCTAGTGCAATGTTACCTCCATTAGCCAGCAAGACTACTTTAAAATCAAGACTGATTCGAGGATCATACCAGTCAAATGGTGTAACCTCTCCGCTGTTATCAACAACAAATCTGTAGCCATCTTTCTTTTGGTGAGCATTATTGGCGACAGTTGTATATAGTGCTGTTTCTAGGTCAAAAATAACATCTTCGTATCGTTCAACATACTTTGGATCTCTAAATGATTTCATATAATAATAGATTACATAAATCTTCTCATCTGACCCCCGGATAATAATTGATTTACTCGTTCATTAATCTCGTAATCGCTTAGCTCTCTTGATTGTTTTTTTCTATTGGCGATGTCGCTACTGGTAATGCTGCTACCGGTGTCTTTTTATTCTTTTTGCTCAATAACTGAATAATTTTATCGCCTGCTTTTTCGTCAGCATATTTACCAGTTTTAGTAGCAGCTTTTTGAACGGCCTTTTTTGTTGCCGTTTTAGCACCTTCCTTCATGGTCTTTCCAAACAACTTTCTGCCGATCGTTTTGAAAACATCGGTAGCACCTTCTCCATAAATATGCTTCTTAACATATCTCCCCGTTTTAACATCATAACGTCTCTTAAATTCTCATTGTCTCATTGTATATTTATAATTATTAGGTTAGATATTATGCTGGTTTGGGTTGCAATATCAATGTCATAAACCAGTCAATCTTATTTAGTCCAATTGGTCGCCCCAGTGAGTCTGTGATGTAAAACCTCATTTGTGAAATATTAAGTTGGGAAACTTCATTAAACAATAGTCTTCTGGGTTCAAATGTGAATGGGAAACTTCTTGTCAAATTGTCAGTTGGAATAACAGCCAACGTATTAGTATTAACACCATTTAATATGCTGTTCGTAATAGCATCGGTATTGATATAGATCATATCAATGGAATTTGTGATATTGGGAAGAATTGTCCCATATTCTGTTTTATTGACAATCTTTTCTGTGAATCCAATCAACTCCCCAAATTTACTGTTTCTCAGATCCAGTTGGTAATTGTTGTCAATCTGAATGAGAAACTTGTATGTCGATAATACAAATGTTAAGTTAATATGGTATTTATCGACAGTTTTATCGTCGGTGGTAAGATGACCTTTCTTTTTCATCCACTGATGGAGATAATCACTTAAATCTGAGTAAGTATACATCCCCCAGGGGCCCTACTCACATATTTTAGTGACGGGGGGGTCCGAAGGATTTTTTTGGGTCTGACATTTTGGCCAAAAGGGATTTTTTGGGGTCTTTGAAAGACGCCGGGATTTTTTTGGGTCGCGAGAACAACACAGGGATTTTTTTGGTTATTGTATTTTTCATCAGCTCAAATAAAAAATAACATAAGCGCAATTTATAGTTTTGTTTTTGACCAAAACCAAAGTTGAAGTTGGCATGTTTTAGCTTTCGAGAAGATAAATAATAAAATTTGCTGATGCTGATTTTTGGGTATGCTAAAAAAAGTAGGGATTTGTTTGGGTAGACAATACTGAAGTTGGGATTTTTTTGGGTATAAAATATGAACCTCTGTCCGACCCCCCCGTCATTAAAATATGTGAGTGGGGCCCCTGGGATACATCCCATCCACAAATTTGACGGTTTGCCATGATGTGCCACCATCAGGTGAATATTTTATTTGATTATTTTGATACTGATCTGAAATATTATGCCAACTGTAAGTCATTGTGGCCTTATCCGAGGCTATTTCATGTGTCATATTACTTTGGAGTTTTAAGACTGGATCAAATTTAATTATGAAATCTTCTGCTTTATTCTGTCCGATTTTCTGTCTATTAAATGAAATATGGATTACTCTTTCTTGCATTTATATTATTAGATTACATATTCCTTCAACAGACTATTAAGCTGGGTGTTATTTAGAACGCCTAATTTATTTAGTGTGTGAGCAATTTTAGAAAATTTATTTTTGACACCATTTTTTCCAGCCAATATGGATCCACCTAACAATTCCAATCTGTCCAGTAGGTCAGCTGGGTTATTATAATAAACAACGCCGATTTTTTTGTATTTATTACTTGTTCGGTGAATTGGAATATCACTTATTCTGTTCAGGTCATCAAATACCATTTTTGATAATGGCGAATACGTAAGAGATAAAGCCCGAGAACGGAGGTATTAAGCCATATACATCCCGAGGGCCGTAGGCCCTCGGGATGTATATGGATTAATACCGACGTTCGAGGGGTTTATCTAACTTATTTCATGATCTTATTCATGAGGTATAGGTTACATAAAGGTCGTCTTCACAGGGCAATAATTGGCCACTTGTTTTTGACATCTGTTTGTTTGTCTTTTTTTGATCCGACCGCAGACAATGACGTATTTCATTGTAAGTATTGTAAAGGTTTTCACACAGCATCGAGAAAGGGCGTTTCACGGGTCATAATTTGTTCAAACCACTTGTTCTCACTTAGGTGAGAAACGGAGAACAATAGCGCATTGTTTGTTTGCTAAGCCGACAACAATCAAATTTCAAACCTTTTGTGTTTTTTTATTTTTGTCTTGGTATTTTTTGGGGGGCCAGTACACTTGTGAGAGCGGCAATGGATAGTGACGACGAAATTTTCCTAACGCAAAATACTTTCTCTCAGGAGCCTTTTTCCCCTGAGTTGAATTTGGAAGAGTTAGTGGGAGACTTTAGAGAAGTAAGCGAACGAGATAGTGTTGAAGTCGAAAAGAAGGAAAATCCTGGGCGTAATATCGTTGTTGTTTGTGATAACGAAGTCGAGAAGAGAAGAGAGTCCAGAATACCGGCAAACACGAAAGTTAATACTTCATGGGCGGTACGTTGCTGGGAGGAATGGGCCGTCGAACGCAATGTAAAAGTTAAAAAGAATAGCAGCAAAGAGAAATACTACGAAGTCAATCCTGACATTAAGAAAGTCGCTAATGAGCAGCTTGACTACTGGCTTGGGAAGTTTGTTTTGGAAATTCGGAAGAAGAAAGAACCTGGAAGCGTGTAAGTGACGACGAAATTTTCCAAAGACTTAAAATTTTCTTAGAGTGAACACATAGCCTGCATGATATATGGGATACTACTGTATTTTCTATAGTTGCAGAATAAATTTCTATATTTGTGTTAAAGGGAGAAATTTTCTCAGAATGTTTGGCGGGGTCAAAGGACGTGTATGATTTGCTTTAATTGCTCATTATAAATGGAAGGGATTTATTTGTATATTGCCCAGGGCAGCAGGGCAATATACAGATAAATACCGGGTATTTATATAGATATTGCCCTTGCATTTATAATTAGCAATTTATTCAATTCATCAGCCCCGCTCTTCCCTGCTACATTATCAAGCCCTCCCCGGACTTTCAGTTAGTTAAATATTCATGAAGTATGTAAGTTAAATAAAGGATGTTGAATAACAAAAGAAAATGTGTCATTCATGAAATAATTCTTTTTACTGTTGAACCGCTTTGTGAGCAGATAAAGAGTATCAAAGTCCACTTGCTTATCATAGACTTTTTTACCATCCTTATGAGCAATTAGTTTGAGCTGGCCATAAAATTTGGGCACGTCAATTGTTACATTTCCATAAACACCAGTTTGTGGGTTAACGTTATAAGCATTCCTCTTTTTTTGTGTATGAATACCCTGACCAGTTTTCAGTGTTTTTGTGCCTTCCTCTACAATACCAATTCTTTGTCTGTATTTTCTTATGATATCAATTCCTTCAGTATACTCGGCAATTTCATCCTCATTTTTCTTTCTGTTAGCTTTTGTTGTGCTCAAATGGGCTTTTTTCTGACCCAATTTCTTATTTATTTCAACGCATTTATCTAATATTTGTTTCGCATAATTTGGTTCCTTCAGGGTTCGTAAAAAAATGTCAGCTGGTAATGGCAATTGCTGGTTTTGTATGAATGCCAATTCTTCTTGAGTAAATCCTTTATTCATATCAGCTATCATTTTGGGTGCCACCTCACCACTTGGCCCTGGTAATGCTAATCTTTGAACTTGCTCACCATAGGGGATGACTTGTTTATTAACATCTTCTCTCAATTTACTGATTTCCTCTATCTCCTTATCAAACTTTTCCGTTAGAGGTTTCAGATCTTCAGATGTCTTTTCGTAAACATTTTGCTTATTAGTTCGGACTTCTTTTATAACATCCCTAACAACTTCAGTCATTTTTCTTGCTTCAATTTTAGGAATACTGAGTCTCTTGAATCTTTCTATACCCATTATACTATTGTGTTATACAAAACTTATCTGAACTTATCTTGAATTATCTAACATAATATTATATGGATATTCCAAATTATGATTTCAATGAAAATGAAAATACAAACTTCAAACAGCTGTATGAGTACATGCCCAAATCCAATTTTAGGATGCTAATATGCGGTAATTCAGGGTCAGGCAAAACAAACTTACTTTACCACATCCTCATGAAACCATTAGTCTACTATGACCAGATCCATTTATATGGCAAAAATCTGGAACAGGAAAAGTATCGACCCATGATAGAAACAATGAATGACATTAGTAGCCAGGCTGGATATGACATAATGCATTGCAATAATGATGACATTAAACCTGTCAATAGTCTGGAAAGTGATGCCTAAAAAATTGTAATATTTGACGACTTCATTTGTGATAAAAATCAAAAGCCGCTTATCGATTATTTCATTCAAGGCCGGCATAAGAACTGCAGTGTTATTTACCTTTCACAATCATTTTATAAAACTCCAAAAGATATCAGATTAAACTGCAGTCATTATATTGTTTATGATTTCCCTAGCAGTAATGAGAGAAATATGATTTCTAGAGAGTTGAATGTAACAAAGGATCAGTATATTAAAGCTACCAAACAACCCCACTCATTCCTATTTTTGGATAAACCAATGAAGACTGTCAAAAGAAACTTTTATGGAAATATCTAATATACTATTATAAAATGGGACTATTTAATCAGCAACCTAATTATAATCAATCATACTCAAAAGAAAAACGCGGAATTACTGGCCCTCAAGGATCTCCTGGCCCACCTGGCCCCGCTGGTGCTCAGGGTAACCAAGGTCCAAAAGGTGATCAGGGTATTCAAGGACCCAAAGGTGATCAAGGTGCTACTGGTCCTACTGGCCCTAAAGGTGCTACTGGTGCATCAGGCACTGGTTTTAATCTCACATCAGATGGGAATTACGATATATCAAACCAAAAGCTGACAAGTGTTGCTAAAGGGACTGGTTCCAATGATGCCGTAACAAAAAATCAACTTGATACTAACTATCACTTTCTGGTGGATTAATGACCGGCAATTTGGATATGAATAATAATAGGATATACGGTGTAGCACAACCATATCCAATATAAAGTAGCTAATAGATTTCTCCCCTCGATAAATTTTCACTGGTTTTGAATATTTGTCATCATAACAACAGACTACTTTATAACCATAACTACAGCCAGTGCGCTTTTGGTACTTATCAGTATAAGATTTAACACCATCTGGTTGACATCTAGATACTTTCTCTGTAATTGCCTCGAAATCTGCATAAATTACAAAAAGTGCTGGCATCTGCTTATGATAGTTCTGAAATTGGACCGTACTGCCCTCCTCGGGCATCCTTATTGCCTGTTCCCCATTTACTATCATGCAATTGCTCTTATGTTTTGCTAGTATCTTATCAGTGCTAAAACACTGGAGCCAAAACATACAAAAATGTTTACGGTGTTAGTGTTTAGTCTTATTGTACATCATCTTATTAAAATCCTTAATCAAGACATAATGCTGCTTCTCGCCCTGTGTAATCAACAGCAGGTTCAATACTTTCTCGTTTTTATGCTTTCTTTGAGACATGAATTGGATACAATTGCTCATTCTCATAACGAAACACATTAATATTAATGCTATTTTGCTCTTCTATTTTACCATAATGTTTAGCAGCGACAGGGAATTCCACTCCTTGGTAATTTAATTCCCGGACCATTTTTCTGTCAATCTTTTTGATCCGCTGAGGATCCTTTTCTTGCGGATTTAAATATCGTATATGACACCAGCGAAAGCATTCATTATCCTTATTTTGAAGATTAATTAGCCCCTTAGCCGAATTCTGTAATTTTACCGGTAGAGGAATATAGGAATTACCTCTCATCGGCTCATACACTACTGTATTTATATAATGTTCATTAATACTACTAACAGTCCAACCACTGCCCTCAGACAACCAAACACCAATACCGTTTAATATTTGTTGCTGTGATAATTGCAAGCTTGATAAAAAATCATTAGGATTAATTACTTTTTGCGCTTTACTATTGAAATAAGCTGGCTTATAAATATTATCATCATCCTTTCTTTTCACAAATGTTACTTTTAACGTCTCCACAAATTTGAAACCTTTTGTATTATTAAGTATAGTGTTAAATAATCTACTAATTGCTAGTCTCGTATTTTGAAGCTGCACCAAAGCATCTCTATCAGTCTTCAAACCGATCTCATATGATTTAGTGAAGCCCTTAAGAGCCTTCCGTTTTTCACCAATTTTTGTCCGTGGTACTGCTATTGGCTGCTGTTTCTTTGTTCTGGGAGCTGGAATCGGTCTATATGGTGGTATGGGATTATTCTCAAAATATCGGATTAATTGTTGTACATTCCTTCTTGGCTTTGGAATTGGAGTCCTTCTAACAGAAATAGGGTGGGCTTCTTCCCTCAATCGTACTAAATTCTCGAGCTCACTATCTGGAAGCCCAGATAACAATCTTCTTATAAGTTCATTACGATTAGTCTTCATATTATTACTATATATTATATTATTTTTATCTGAACGCACCATCTGCATACTAGTATGCGGCGCTATCTCTTTAAGTCTCGACGAACCGCCCAAAACCGGTTCAAACCGGATTCCCGAGGCTAAGTCCAGAATATATAATATGCGCCGGTGCCGCCATGTACTATACTACTCTTGTATAAAACCCTTGTTAATACGTCCAAATTTTTTTGGCCCGTTGGTGACAGTATTAACGGGGTTCCACTGTAAATAAATATAACGCTCTTTGGATAAATGAGGTTCTCAAAACATTTTAAGGGATCCATAGAAAGGGAACATTAATTGCACATTAAAAAAAATAATAATAATAGAGCACAGAAAGAAATCACAACCAGAAACCCAAGAATATGATATGGACATTTGACGTCCTTCACGTTTAACAATGACAGGTGTGACAAAAAGGAAAAATTAGATTGCTCTTTCAGTGGCCAGCTTGAGTAAAATATTTAACCCTTTTAAACCCTGAGATTTAAATTTAAATTCCCATTTGTTGCCCCTATTCATTTCCTACAGAAATAGTGAAGAGAAATTGACCAAATATCAAGCAAATTCATCTTGTGTGATCATGTCTGTAATTCCCCCGACCACTCGGGGGATTAGAAAGCATTGATACTACAAGGCAAAATTTGATGCCTATCACTCTAAGGGTTAAAAGGGTTAAAGAAAGACATCCAACAAAAAGACATGTGAGTTTCCGTCATGTGCAATTGTGAGCGGATGTGACAAGGAACTCAGAAGAACTGGAACACTGTGGTCAAATAAGATAGATAGATAGGTAGATAGATAGATAGATAGATAGATAGATAGATAGATAGATAGTTTATTTGTAAAAAGCTTGCAGCTACTAAGCTGAATTTTGTATTTACAATATAATATATGATATAATATAACAGAATCTTACAATAGTGAGTATAATAAAATGATAACGATAAAGTCCTAAATAAATAATAACATCCTATAAATATAAAAAAGCTTAAAACTGTTAAAATATATACAACGTCATCGATCTCATTTACAAAACTCTCCGAGCGCTAAAATTCGTTATCAATACATGATCTTACTAAAAAACTATTTTTGAAACGCTAGGAGCACCAAAGACCAGTACTGGAGTCATAACAGGGTTACTTGTACGGGCTGACAGCAGCCCACATGAAATATCTCTGGGCAATGGAATGACTGTAAAGTCTTTCAATGACACCAAACCTTGGTTTAAGGGGGGTCATGTGACAGCTTCAGAGGAAGGAGCAAGGTAGTAAACAATGCCAGGCCTCTTTGTTAAATGCTGTTTAGAAATATAAAGGTTAGGGTTAGGGTTAGGGTTAGGGTTAGGGTTCGTGAGTGTTGCTTTGTCTCCAACAGGTACTCTGGGTATGTCACAACTGTAGGTTTAGCAGTCAGACTTTCAATGGTGGTACTGGTTTGTGTTTTAGAAGACTGACTGCCCACTCGTTTCCACTGATCAAACGTTGGAAACTTTCTTAACTTTCGTTGTCTGCGAGCAGTTTCTCTCTCCATGTGATAAAAAGCTAAGAGGGACTGAAATTCTTGAACAACATCCTTGTATATTTGTTCCATACTAGCAAGGTGATCCCTTCAAAGAACAAATGTTCCCTGTTGTGCTACTGAAACAGGTGGACTATCACAGCTCCATGATTCACCTTCTGATGGAACTTCAAATGGAACTTTATTTGTCAGCTTTCCAGACATCTTTACAAAATGACACCATTCAAAAATCTGAAACAAGAAAGCACACCAATAATACATAATGAAATGAATAAAGCATGTTGACATGCAAGGCTTGATTCAGATTATTTTACAATTTTCTATTTTATTGAGTAATCCTAATATAATACATAATATTAAGTAATCCTACAAACCAGAAGACAACTGATAAAGGTGCAAAATCAATCACATCAAAGACATTCAATTCGACAGAACCATTCTGTATTAGCATAATGGCATCAATAAGCAATTAAGGCTGTATTATTAGAAAACTAAACATGGTGTAGGAAACTGAAAATTTGTTTACTGCATGAAAAGAAGAGATCATCACCTGGTACGTTCTCAAAATTGTTGCCTCAGGACCCGGGAGGGGGGGGGGGTACTCCCATACATTACCTATACGGGTATGTGCCGCCCAACGGGGTCGTGATTTTGAAGCTCCTCATTTAGAACGGGGTATCCATTTCAGAGGCGTTTTCTAGAACGGGGTATAAAAAATTGTGGATCACGGCTTCATCTTCTGCTTAAAATTGACGCTGATTATGAAGAAGCATTTATTTGATGTATAAGTCGAACAAATAAAGAAATATCTTTTTAAAAAAACAGGACTATTTCAAGTTACAAACTTTCTAGAACGGAGTATAAAAAATTGGCCCATTTCTAGAACGGAGTATCAGTTTTAGGGCGAATTCTAGAACGGAGTATAAAAAGTTGGCCCATTTCTAGAAATTTTTTTTTTTAGAACGGGGTGCCAATTTGGAGTCCCGGGCGGCACATACCCACCCAAAAAATACCTAAGTGCCCCCCCGGGCCTCAGGATGTCTCCTTTTTAGGGCTCTTCGGCAAAGTCAAGAATTGAATCTTTCAAACGCGAACATCCGAAGTACTGTGCACTGGGCCAAATTGCCCTATCCCTTCCGGTATGTGTTGTAGAATATGATTTGTCACCACCTTTAAAAACCATGAAGGTAACCAAATTACAAAATTAAGAAAAGACTGAAAGGATGAATCAGACTGGGATATGGTGGATATGGATCAGCAATAATAACATTATAAGTCCTTGAAAATACGTT